TCGGAATTCCGATTTTAATCGGAAAAATATCATGTCTACCCGGGGCTCGGGGGGGGGGGGGGGGGGGAAGGAAAGCCAGATTCGCTAAAAGACTACGCCGTGAATTGGACCACGCCGCTAATTGAACCACTGCTGCAGTGATTCACTTAACCAACAGTGGGGGAGAACAACGTGCAAAAAGGGGCATCAAATCTCCTGAACCAAGGTCTCACTTCGCGACAGTTGTGGTCATTACTGTTAGGGATAACATTGTTTACCCTAACTGGTTTGGGTAAAAATAATAAATAAGTTATCATGGTTTGTTGGTTAAAGTGTGTGTAACTTTAACTACAAGAATGTAATTAAGGGTGTGGTTGTAAAAGCACCATAAAAAAAGCAAGTCAATTGCAGCTCTCTCTCTCTGGCTTAATGATCCCTAATTACTGGATGGATTGATGACTGCGTTTTTCCTTACTGGAATGGAGGAGAGAAAGGAGTGTTGATTTCTCAACGGAGAGAAGAGATAATACGGACTGATTTATTGTAAGTGAACTGACATTGGCTATTCAACACGGACTTTGCAAATTGAGTATCCCCGACTGGACTGACTGAAATGATACATGACTAATGGACCATTTATTTTGACTATGCTATAATTCCTAATGGAATAAACTATATTTTTGATAGCACAAGCGTATCTGTTTTTTACTGCGTGTTAACTAAAATACAAACTTATCTCACACATTTACCTGTCTGCCTATCTGACTACGCTACACATTCTGTTTAGTTTGTTTTCCTTAACACTCGTTGGGGAATTCAGGCTTAACACTTACGTCGAGGGCTACCTGTCATCCCTTTTCCCATCCGCCCCCCCCCGTCCCCCTCGGCTGGCAAACACCCACCCACCCACCCAACAACTTACATTTTTGGTCCAACGTTTCACGCCTTCGTACCCCTTGGTTCGTAGCTTATCGTAGAAAAAACTGTTGAAAAAGTGAACCTGAAGGAGTGGGGAAACGAAAAAAGAGAAAGGGAGAAGATGGGTGGGGGGCAGAAAAGGCAGAGGCCCCCTCCAATTTCCCTGACGCCCCAAGTCCTGCTGTGATCTAAGGAACAACGACCCCTTTGTGACTTGTGGACTTCGACTCCCAGAATTCCTCCGCCAGCTGCGCTGAGGAATTCTGGGAGTCCAAGGCCACAAGTCATAAAGGACACAAACCTTAGGCACCCTTTTACCTGGGGGTGTATTCATATATTTAGCGTATGGCATATCACACAGGCTCTATCTATCTATCTATCTATCTATCTATCTATCTATCTATCTATCTATCTATCATCTGTGTGGGTGTCTATCTATCTATCTCTAGCTATCACCTATCTATTTATCTACCTATCTATCATCTACGTACCTACTATCTATCTATCTATCTATCTATCTATCTATCTATCTATCTATCATCTCTCTCTGTATCATCTACCTACCAATCATCTACCTATATCACCTACCTACCTATCATCTACCTACCTACCATCCATCCCTATCTATCAATCTATCAATCTTTCTATCATCTACCTACCAATCATCTATCTAGCTATATCTATCACCTACCTATCTACCTACCTGTCATGTACCTACCTACCTACCATCTCTACCTCTCTATCATCTACCTACCAATCATCTATCCAGCTATATCTATCACCTATCTACCTACCTATCATCTACCTACCTACCATCTATCCATCTCTCTCTCATCTACCTACCAATCATCCACCTAGCTATATCTATCAGCTACCTATCTACCTACCTGTCATCTACCTACCTACCATCTATCTCTATCTATCATCTACCTACCAATCATCTATCAAGCTATATCACCTACCTACCTACCTGTCATCTACCTACCTACCTACCATCTCTCCATGTATCATCTACCTACCAATCATCTACCTATATCACCTATTTACCTACCCATCATCTACCTACCTACCATCCATATCTATCTATCTATCTATCGATCTATCTATCTCTATCCATCAATCTGTCTATCTATCATCTACCTACCAATCATCTATCTACCTATATCTATCACCTATTTATCTACCTACCTGTCATCTATCTACATATCTACCTATCTACCTATCATCTACCTATCATCACCTGTTTATCTACCTATCTACGTATCATCTACCTATCATCTACCTACCATCTGTCACCTATCTATCTACCTATCATCTACCTACCTATCATCCACCTACCACTACCTACCTATGTTAGTCAACCGTAATAAAATATAAATTTTATAGAATGTATACATTTTACATTTTGTATCAGTTGTGGGTCTTCCCCAGCAAAGCTTCTCATGATTCAAAAGCTCAAAATACTTTTGGGGCAAAGCATCTGTCCCAGGCTCAGCCTGGGGCATCCTGCATGGGGAATGCTTTTGAACTCCCAGCTTGTCAACCCTGAAGCTATGTGTAGCCATGTTTCATCGTGGTCCTTCCTTCTTCTTTTCTAAGCTTCCTTTAAGTGTTCTGTAAAGGGGGGAGGGGGTGAACGATGCTTCAGGCTCGCCCCATTCCTGCAGCGGGAAGGGGGATGGGGGGAGGGCTAGTAGAGATAAGGGGAGGATGTTATGGCTAGGTGGGAAGAGAGAAGGTGCCTGCAGCTGGAGGAAGGTGGAGTTTGGACAGATGGACTGAGAATTGATTGTAGATCGTGGTGACCCTGAGCAGAAAGTTTCAAACTTTTGCTTTTTTTTTTAACTGGGTGTAATTCCTGGGTTTGGTCAGAGCCAGAATGACACCAATTTTTGCCAATTTGATATGTTCCTAATAAAATGACTTTGTTGCGATATGGCTGCCTTATTGTACTTATTTTACTTACTTATTTTTCCCCCAAAACAAGACCCCGTCTTATAAATTTTTTTGCCACCAAAAATAAGACACCAGGTCTTATTTTCGGGAGACTAACCTCACTTGTGTGCGTCACCCCTGGCCTCCTTTTTGCAGTCAGAGGCCTTCAGGAACTTCTTCTTCTGCGGCCAGCAAGACTTTCCTGAAGGCCTCTGCAACCGGTAACAGATCTCTGGATTGATCCAGAGCTTTGTCATCAGCTCCAGAGGCCTTCAGGTGCTGGGGGTGTGCCAGGCCTGGCTACACCTGTCCAAAGGTTAGTAGTACGGCAGCTCCACCACCCCCATCCCCACCCTAACTTAATTTTTACCCATCCACTCTGGAGTGGGAAGGATCTTAATTAGAGATCATTTGGGGGGGGGGGGGGGGGGGGCTTATTTTGGGCACACATGTAAAAAAATCAAGCTAGGATTTACTTTCAGGGTAGGTCGTATTTTCAGGGAAAGAGGCGACATTTCTCAGGGCTTTATAAGCATCATGTTGTCTGGGTATCCATTCAAATGGGTGGGAATCTTCATTAGGGCGTATTTTGCGGGTAGGGCTTATATCAGGGCGCACGTGTAAAAAATCAAGCTAGGCCTAAATTGTTTTGTGACAGTTCATATTATCATCTCAAATCTATCCTACAATCATTTCTCAGTGCTTTATAAGCATCGTGTTGTCTGGGTATCTTAATTTTTACCCATCCACTCTGGAGTGGGAGGGGTCTTAATTAGGGCTTATTTTTGGGGAAACAGGCTACATTTCTCAGTGCTTCATAAGCATCGTGTTGTCTGGGTATCCATTTGAGTGGGTGGGAATCTTAATTAGGGCTTATTTTGGGGGGTAGGGCTTATATTGAGTGCATGAGTAAAAAAATCAAGCTAGGATTTACTTTCAGGGTAGGTCGTATTTTCGGGGAAACGGACTACATTTCACAGTGCTTCATAAGCATCGTGTTGTCTGGGTATCCATTCGAGCAGGTGGGAATCTTCATTAGAGCTTATTTTGGGGGGTAGGGCTTATATTGGGCGCACGTGTAAAAAACACTCAAGCTAGGTCTTACTTTCAGGGTAGGTCGTATTTTCAGGGGAAACGGTAGAATTTTTGGGGACCTATGACTTGGAAATTTGACAAGAGCATTTTTACAAAAGTCATAATCTGAACTTAAATTTTTGCCAGCCAAAAAGGGCTGGAAAACGCAGCTCACCTTTTCTGGCACCGTGTCCATCACGAGGTCCCCATACATATTCATCACCTGCTCAAAGGGGGAAATGATGAAATGGGTTAAAACGAGAAAAAAACAACACGCGCCTCTGGAGGGAAGGAAGCCTTAGGTGGGGAAGACCAAAATCGTTGCTAAATGACTGTAATTTTCTCCCTCTAACAACCAGTAACCAGAGCCCAGAGAGACACATGATAAAACAGGAGAGTATCTCCGTAGCTCAGGGTTGACCTGTGGAGTCCTTGGCGGTTTCTGTGCCTAGGTTTCCTTGCACATGTTTCATGACCCAACTAGGGAACGTCATCAATGCTAGAAGGGGGAGGGGTTTGTGGAGAAGAGGAGAAGGAGGACTGTGGGGTCCTTGGGGATCTCTAAGCTTGGTGTCCCAAAGGTGCTTTTTTCAGAAGGCAACTGGGTTTTCTGTTTTTCTTTTTTCTTTTGAAGACATTTTGCTTCTCCTTTAAGAAGCCTCTTTTATATCTACATGATATTAGGAAAACAGAGAATATGATGACTTAGGCGAAAATCCGATATTATGTTCAAAAAATGTGAATTAGGGTTATATAAATGCTATAGGTTGAAATTGGTTAAAGGGAAGTAAAAGGGGAAATTAACTCTGTTTTTATTTTTATTTTTTTCCTTTATACATATAATAGCAAATGCAATATAAAGAGTATGAGAAAATAGAAAACATAATGAACTAGAAGGGATTATGTGGGAATGTAAAATGTTTATAATGAACGTATTATACTGTATTTTTGGCTAAGTGGAAACAAAGGGAAAAAAATGAAATGATTATATGAATATCTCTGGAATATATATAAGATATATCGTAGATGGGGGGGGGATATACCATGTGGATCCTAAATGTATTAATCTTACTTTACTTTTACTCATTTTTTCTTTCATTGATTGTCTAATTATATATTGGTCTTGAGAAAGTTATAGATAACAGTACATAAGGTAACATAAAATAGGTGGTAAGCTGAAAATGGAAATAATAGGGGATAAAGAATTGAAAATATACGTGAGGATGAAATGATTTTGATACTGAATTAATGAACTGAAATATGAAAGGGAAATTTATCTAAAGATTAGTCGAATGGATAATATTTTTTTTTATTTTCCCTTATTAAACAAACACAAACAGAAATTACAATAAAAAGGTTGAACCTGGTACAGTCTTCCTAACATCAATCTTTGTCATTACTTTGCTAAATCCAATAATATTACATAATTTCATTCCATATACATTAAATATACATATAATCATTCCTTATTTGCACGAATCTTCCTCATCTCTAGCCAACCATAAAATTTGTCCCATGTTTTATAATAATCCGAATCCTTATTTTTTAGCTCCTTTGTTAGTTTATCCATTTCTGTGCTTCTCATGATTTCCCTCAATATTTCAAATTCATTTGGGATATCTCTATTTTTCCAATTTTGTGCATACGCCAATCTTGTTGCAGTTCTTACATGGATTATTAGATATATATTTTCCTTATCATATTTCCTTGTATTGATCCCTAGCAGAAAGAACTCTGGTCTATGTTCTATTTTCATTCCACACATTTCTTCTAAAATGTATAATAATTTGAAGCAGTATTAATTAAGAAAGTTGAAAGTGTAACTATGACTATGTATCAATATTGTAATCTGGACCCACGCTTCTCACGTGAAGAGATGTGTAAAAAATAAAAATAAAAAAAACTTTGGAAAACAAAAAAAAAAGCTATCTTTAGTTCTGACTGGATGGAGGGGAATGGAAGGATTTAATACTCCTTGCTGACAGCTGGCCAGTTGCAGCCTTGGAATGGGGTGGGAGGAAGAATGGATTTCCAGAGGGGGAAAAAATGGTAGACTACAGGAATCATTTGCACCACTCCGGCAAACCTGAGGACACAGGTAGGGGATGTCACAAGTGCTAAAAGGAAGAGGGGTTGTGGGGAGGGAGAGGAGAAGAAAAGAAGGGGAGGAGGAGGAAGAGGGAAGGGGAGGAGGAGGAGGAAGAGGAGGAAGAAGAGGGATAAGGGAGGGGACAGGGGGAGGAGGGAAGGGGAGGAGGAGGAAGAAGAGGAGGAAAAGGGAAGGGGAAGAGGGGGAGGAGGAGGACAATGACTGCGGGGGTCCCTGGGCCTCTCTGGCCTTGCATGTTTCCTTGCAGACCTTCCACGTCCTTCTGCCTGGCAGGAGGAGCCCCAGCCAGGAAGGCCCGGTGGGCTCAGCCAATGTTTCAAATCGGGGCCAGGTGTTGGGCAGGCAGGCCGTGCAGGTGAGCTGCGTGGTCCCTCCCACCCCCTGGCCTTGCTCCCCCCACGGGGCGCCCTCCTCCTACCTGGTCGTTCAGCCAGTTGGAGCCAAAGAGGGTCTGCAGGTCGTCCATGGTCACCACGTGGCGCTTGTAAGTCACCCGGAAGGTCCGCAGCACGGCGTTGCCCGGTATGCGCTGGTAGGACTGGATCAGCTGGTTCACCAAGCTTTTCCTGCAGGGGCCGCGAGGAAGAGGAGGACTCTGAAAGACGGGCAGGCGGGGGGGAGGCCTGGGGGGGGCAGCCCTTCCACCCCCACCCCCCTCTCAGTGGACTCCCAAGGGGGCCTCGGGCACTGCAAGGCCAGGAGCTCCACCTGGCTCTTGCCACCTCTGCCCATCCTCGGCTTGCAACTCTTTCGTTTAGCGGCCGTTCCAAGTTTAACGGGGGAAGTTTAAGGGAAGGTGGGAATGGGAAGAGGAGGAGGAAGAGGAGGAGGAAATCTTGGTAGCTCAGGGCTGTCTAGGAGGGCTCTCCTTGCAGCTCTCTTGAGCTTGGTTGGTTTCCTGGCAGACGTTTCGTGGCCCAGCTAGGGAAAGGCATCAGTGTTAGAAGGGGGGAGGAGGAGGAACAGGAAGAGGGGGAGGAGAAGGAGCGGAAGAGGAGAAGGAGAATGAGAAGGAGGAGGAGGAAGAGAAGGAAGAGGAGAAGGAAGAGGAGGAGGAAGAGAAGGAGAATAAGGAGAAGGAGGAAGAGAAGAAGGAAGAGGAGGAAGAGAAGAAGGAAGAGAAGGAAAAGGAGGCGGAGGAGGAAGAGGAGAAGGATGACGAGGAGAAGGAGAACGAGGAGGAGGGAGGAGGAAGACAACGAGGACGAGAAGGATGACGAGGAGAAGGAAGAGGATGAGGAGTAGGAGTAGGAGAAGGAGGAAGAGGAGGAGGAAGAAGAGAAGGAGGGGGAGGAGCAGGAGGAGGAGGAAGAAGAGAACAAGGAAGAGGATGAGAAGGAGCAGGAGCGGGAGGAGAGGGGGAGGAAGAAGAGGAGGAAAAGAACGATGAGAAGGAGGAAGAGAAAGGAAGAGGACGATGATGAGAAGGACGATGAGGAGGAGGAGGTGAAGAAGGAAGAGGATGAGGAGTACGAGGAGAATAAGGAGGAAGAGGAAGAGGAGGAAGAAGAGAAGGATCATGACAACTGTGGGGTGTATGATGCTCTCTGAGGTTGTTGGTTTTCTATCAGAAATGGTTTAGGGGAACTTCCGGTGGCAAGGCAAGGACGAACAGAGGTGCAGAAGCCCGTCTGTGGTTTCAGTTAATCTCTTTTTGCGGTTGGCGCGATCCTTTGAGAGTGCACGAGTCCCGGAGAGATTCGTGCCGGCGTAGGGGAGACTCGGGTTGCAGTGTGGGGAAGGCAACCCCCCTGCAGCAAAGAGGAGCCCTCCAGAGCCCAACGAGCAAGAAACAGCCTCCTATCAATGGCAGCTCCGAAGTCTGGACTGCCACCGATGTAAAGAAACAAGTGAGTGACAGTTTGTGAGATCATTGGGGAAGAGTGTGGCAGAGAAAATTAGCGGCGGAGAGGAGAATTGGAATGCCATAGACTTTTATAAGGCTGTCACAAGTGTCTGTCCGGAGCCCTAAAAGAAAGCGGCCAAAAAGCGGATGCGAGGCAAGTGAAAGTGAAAGGGCTTGGCAGACAGAAGAGAAAGGACAATAACGAGTAAAAAGGGAAGTTTACGAGGTTGGGAGACTAGCAGCTGGAAGGTGCCTGGAAGTTTGTGGAGGATTTGGACTATCTCATTTGATTTTTATTCTGAAAGACTTTATTAAAGCGGAGACAGGAAGAAGATCGGAGCTGATGGAACAGAGACAGTGTGGTGCCACAGGCAATATTTAGAAACCCTGAAGCCATCGTAACAATATAACTGATATACACCACTTAACAGCCCTTTAGGGAGCAAACTGATCTAATTGAGGAGGTGGTTCCATCTGAAGAAAATCAGGAAAATTGAACTTAGGAACACTAAGACAAAAAGTAAAAGTGGAAGCTTCCGAATGTGTGGAGATACCGTGTAATTGCAGTCACTACTCAGCATTTTTTACCTCCCCACTTCCAATGTGTTTGGAGTGAAAGCTCTCAAACTTAGAGACGGAAAGCTAAAAACTTACTTCAAAATTCCCTTTTCCCCTTTTTTTACTCCCTTTTTTCTGTATACATTTGCTCAATTTTTTCTTCTTCTTTTTCCCTCATCATCTGGCGCTATGATGAACTATCTCTCCTTCTTTACTCTCTCTTTATGATTATAAATATGCATACTGGGGAAAGGAAAATTGATTGTTGTAACTGATTGTTAAATAATTGAATTAATTGATTTAATTGACTTATTAATAATAGTGATAGTTATACTTTGATTAGATATAGAGGAAAAATAGTAAGAACATTAAGTATTATTTAATTAATAAGTATAGGGTTTTATGTATTAATATTATAATTTATTGTGTGATCACAATTAATCCACTTGGGAACGAATGTAATCCTGTTTGTGTTTAAGAATATTTAAAATAAGGTTAGATAAATACACACATTTATAATATATAAATATAGTTGGATTTGGATATAATATTTATATACATATATATTTTTATTACATGAAGTTATGTATAGAGGCTGAGCATAGACCTTACAAAATTATATATGTGATTTAGAATTTGGATTTAAAGTAATACAGTGATAATATTTTTATATATAAGTACTTATACTCCAGTAACCAGTTAAGAGCACAGCTATCTAGCAAATAGATAAAGTAATTAGATACTGGTCAATCCTAATACAGGGTTTCTATCACTGAATGTTAATTTGGGATAATATAATTAATATAGTACAACAGAAACAAATCTTAAAAGAAATGACTTCCACAACTACTACAGCTCTGAAAACTGGAAGAAAGGTCACCCCGATGTTAACAACTATGTCGGCAACAGCTTCGCCCATGGCACAAAAAACCATAGAAGAAACATTACCAGTGGAGAAACAAGCTAACATCTCGAATGCCAACATCCAATCAATTTTGCTGACTTTACAGGAATCGTTGACGAAGCTGCAAGAAACAATGATGAAAAACCATAACGAGACGAGAGCAGATATCAATGAACTAAAAGAGGAGATGGGGAAATTAAAAGCAGAAATGAAAGCCGATATCTCCAAAGTAGAGGAGAAAATTGGATTATTACAGCAGGCCCTGGAGAAAAATGAAGCAACAATAAAAGAGGTAGAGAAAAGGACTGAACGAACCGAAAGGAAATTAGAAAGGGTAGATGAAGAATTAAAGAATGTGAGTGAAGAAATGGAGGACTCACTGGTCTACCTAGAGATGGACAAGGCTGCTACATACTTGAGATTCGAAAATGTAGTGGAATCCAAAGAAGACCTGGAACAACTAATGGCGGGAATACTGGCTGGACTATTGGAAAAGGATAAAGATGACATCTTAAGGGAGTTTGATGAAGTTTACAGGATTAGCACTAATTATGCGAGACGCCACAAATGCCCAAGAGAAGTCCATATACGATTTGCGAGAAGGAGTGTCCGGGATATCATATATAGGATGTCAAGAGATGAAACAATCACGTATAAAGGTAAAGAAGTCTTGATTCTCAAACAAATACCAAGAAGAGTAAGAGAACAAAGACAAGACTACAAGTTCTTAGCAGCTTACCTAAATCAGAAAAGAATCGTATTTAAATGGCTAATCCCAGAGGGGATGTTAGTTTTTTGGAACGAAAGGAAAATTAAAATAGACTCCATGGAAAAGGCCCAGGAATTTTATGAGCGATTGGAAGGTCCGGAAGACCAGAGCAGTAAGGAGGAACTGGAAACAAACTCCCAGGAAGATCAAGGCTATCATAAGAACAGAGATGGAACTTTAGGAAATCAAGGAAATACTCCTCTACATCAGGAGAGAGAAGAAAGTAGGACACATCTTCAGGCACAAGGAGATACCGGAGCCATTACAAGACAAAGAGCGAAACAGAATTAATTAAATGGAAGAAGAAAAGGAACTACTATCATTTAATATAAATGGTTTAAACTCGATGATGAAAAGGAAAAGGATAATAACCAAATTAATCAAACAAAATGCTGATATAATATGCCTACAAGAAACTTATATAAAGAAAACATATGAAAAATACCTTGAATGTCCGAAATTAGGGAAGCTATTTACCGCACCAGCAGACATGGGGAAAAAGAAAGGGATTGCAGTATATGTTAAAGAGGATTTGAAAGCAGATTTAATATGGTCGGATTCTGAGGGAAGAACTCTGGTTTTGCAGATCTGGATTAATGCCATCCCAATTCTCTTAGTGGTAATCTACGCCCCGAACGGAGATCAAAAAGAGTTTTTTAAGCATCTTTATGGAAAAATAGGATTGGAAAAAAGAAATATTTGTATCATAGGAGACTTTAATTCTATTGCTGATTATCAAAAAGACCACAGTAATGGGGGTAAGAACAAAGGGGGGAAAAGAGAGCTTCCCAAGATATGTATGGAAATGATGAAGGAGTTAAATTTGATTGATATATGGAAAAGATCACATCCCGAGAAAAAACAATTTACATTCTATTCAAATCCTCATCAAATATGCACACGAATTGATATGGCATGGATGAATGGGGAAATAGCAAATGAGATAAAAGGGACTGAAATTTTACCTAATGAATGGGCAGATCACAATCCAATTCAGATAATATGGAAGGGTAGGGAAAAACCCAAGAAAAGATGGACGTTAAATACTCAGTTAATAAGAGAAAAAGAATACACCAACAAACTCAAGGAAGAATTAAATTATTTCTTAAAGGAAAATGATAATGGAGCAACTACGAAACAAAACATTTGGGATACAATGAAGGCAGTAATAAGAGGTATAACAATCTCTTATAATGGCAAGAGGAATAAGGAAAAATACGCCCAGCAAAACAAATTACAACAAAAAATTAAGGAATTAGAAACTCAATTACAGAGTACCCCAAAGGATTCAAAATTGCAAAATCAGATAACTAAAACTAAACTGAATTTAATTGAACAAGAGAGAATGATTATAAATTTGAATACAACTAGACAAACTTATTTTGAGCATGCTAATAAGCCAGGAAGATGGCTATCATATAGACTAAAAAAAAGGAAAGAAAAGAGATTGATATACCAGCTAATAGATGGAAAGGGGGATATACAACAGGAGATAGAACAGAAAAAAGAAATTGCTCGTAAGTATTTTGAAGAGTTATATAAAAAGGAAGAAGTTAACGAAGATAAAATAAGAAACTATTTAGATGAAGTGAAGGATAAAGCAATTGGGGAAGAAATGGAAAAATTATTAAACAAAGACATTACTTCGTTTGAACTGAAATCAGCAATAGAGAACCAGAAAAACAATAAATCCCCGGGACCAGATGGGATTCCAGGGGAGCTGTACATGGCAATAGCAGAACAAATAGGACCTCTTATGGTGGAAGTTTTTAATGACGTCTTATTGGCAGCCAGGATGCCGGACTCATGGAGGGGGGCATTGATTTTGCTGATCCCAAAGGAGGATTCGGATCCCCGATATATACATAATTATAGGCCAATTTCACTGTTAAATGCTGATTACAAAATATTCACTTCTATAAAAGCAAGTAGAAATGGTATAGGGTCTCCCGCGTGGGGTGGGGGGGGTTGGACTAGATGACCTACAAGGTCCCTTCCAACTCTGATGACCTGTTAAACTGTTAAACTATCTCCAGGATATTAGGGAGGTCTCTTCCGGCCCTAGAATCCCACCCACCCACCCACCCCCGGTCCTCCTGTCAGCCTTTGAAGCCATTCCGGAGCATCTTCAGGGCTGCCACACCCAGCAAGGCCGGCTGGAACTGTGGGAACGGGAAGGATGTGTGTGTGTGTGTGCGTGTGTGTGTGTGTGTGTGTGTGAGAGAGAGAGAGAGAGAGAGAGAGAGAGAGAGAAAGAGAGGGAGAGAGAGAGAGGGAGAGAGAGAAAGAGAGAGAGCTGGGAGATGCATAGCCCAAACAAAATTTTTTCTCCTGGGAACCAAGGACGTTCTCACTGGATGCCGGGAAGGCGTGGATGGAGGCCCAACCAGAGGTTGGGACTGGGACCTGGCTGGGCCCTGGGATGGTAGGACACGTGGGGACTGAGGGGGTGGGTGGCAAGAACTGGTGGTTTTTTGATTTTGGGTGGGGAAAACTTGGGGTCTTCTCACCAGCTGTGCCAAGACGGCGTTCCTAATAAATTCTTACTTTTGAGGAAACCCCAGGCCTCAAAGTTTTGGTTGCCTTGGCTATCTATTTCAAGATCTCTCTCTCCCTCTCCCTCCCTCCATCTCTCCTTCCCTCCCTCCCTATCTCAAGAAAATATATCTATCTATGGTACCTATTTATATCTATCTAACTACTATCGGTCTGCCTATCTATTTCAAGAAAAGATCAGATAACCATTCTTCCTGGATAGTAGAAGGCCTTGGGCCCCTGGGGGTTGGACTAGAAGACCTCCAAGGTTCCTTCCATCCTTATGATTCTACCATCTCTCTCTCTCCCTCCCTCCCTCTCCTGTCTCCCCTGGTCCTTTTGTTCCTTAAAATCAGATTAAAGTCACATTAGCAGAGTTGGAAGGGACCTTGTAGGTCATCTAGTCAACCCCCCCCCCCCCTCAACTATTGGAAGGCTGCTCTCCTGCCTCCCCTGGTCCTTCTTTTCATTAAACTCAGATTAAAGTCAGATTAACAGAGTTGGAAGGGACCTTGTAGGTCATCTAGTCCACCACCCCCGCCCTCAAATACTGGAAGGCTGCTCTCCTATCTCCCCTGGTCCTTCTCTTCCCTAGACTAGCCAGGCCCAGTTGCTGCAACCGTTCGTGTGTTTTAGCCTCCAGTCCCCTCATCATCTTTGTTGCTCTTCTCTGCCCTTTCCAGAGTCTCAACATCCTTTTTTACAGTGTGGCGACCAAAACTGGATGCAGTACTCTAGGTGTGGCCTTACTAAGGCTTTACAGAGTGGTCTTAGTCCCTCCCTTGATCTGGATTGTATCCCTCTGTTAATGCAACTTAGGATTGCATTGGCTTTTTTGGCGGCTGCTGCACACGGCTGGCTCCTATTTAGCTGGTTGTCCACTAAGACTCCGAGATCCCTTATTACAGTGACTGCTATGGAGCCTGGTTCCTCCTACATGTCTATATGGGTCCTTTAGGTTTTTCCTGCCTAAGTGTAAGACTTTCCTTTTCTCTACCTTGAATTTCATTTTGTTAAATATGGCCCAGTGTTCTACACTGTCCAGATCCATCTGGATCTTGAGCCAATCTTCTTGAGTGTGTTGGCTATTACTGCTAGCTTAGTCTCCTCTGCAAATTTGGCAAGTTCCCCTTCTATGCCATCAAAAAGGGAAAAAGACAAAGAAATTTAACACTTTCCTTTTCTCGACGTTGAATTTCCTTTTGTTATATACAGAGTTGCGTCTTTTAATTCGCCTGGAATTGCAGCTTGGTTCTTTCTGGGCTTTTCTTCCCAGGGGTAGCAATGGTGGGGTGTGTGTGTGTGTGTGGTGAGGACATCGTACCTCTGGAGGGTGGAGAATTCCTGCTGAAAGATGTCCTCTAGCTTCGCCAGCACCTCATCCACGCTGATGGGGATGAGGCTGCCGTACGCCTGCAGGAACTTGTCCAAGATACCTGGCAGGGAGGAAGGAAAAAGGAAGCAGAAGCAACCCAAATTCGATCCATCTTTTGTGTGTGTGGGGGTGTCTCCACATGGTGATGTACGGAGGGGCTGGGGTGGGAGGGGTGCGTCTTCTATTGCCGCTGGG